TGAGAGTGTGTGTGTGAGTGAGTGTGTGTGTGAGAGAGAGAGTGTGTGGGTGTGTGTGTGTGTGTGAGGGAGTGTGTGTGTGAGAGTGTGTTTAGCCCATGTCACGCCTGCTGGGGGAGGCCCTGCTGTCACCTCTGCACTCACCTGCCTGGGGCTTGCATATGCGGATGTCCACACAGACTTCCCGGGCCCCTTTGCCAGCCATGATGTCCGCGGAGATGCGCTGAAGAGACTTCCTCATGGTGCGCTTGCAGACGCCTCTCAGGAAGCTTTTCACCTTGCTGCACACGCGGGACGCAGCCTGGGCGATGGTGTCCTGCAGTGGCAGCGTCACGGTGGGACACGGGAGCCAAAGGAGCCCTGCCCAGCTCTGCCACCCTGCAGGCCCCGGCAGCTCTGGGCCCTGGGCAGCGCTGGGTGGGAGGAGCTGGTGCCAGGTGGCCATGGGAGCAGGGACTGGAGAGACGGCCCGGCTCCCACTCCCAGTCCCCAGGCTCTGGCCAAAGCCTGGCCAGTAGGGGCTCTTGAGAGAAGGCTATTGGCCCTGCAGGGTCGCAGCCCCCTGTCCCGCTGCCCCCTGGCTTCTGAGTGGAGAATGGTGCCATGGCTGCCAGACCCACATTAAAGGCTCTGCCCATGTGGCCTCCTGGGTCAGGGCCTGGCTGGTTCTCCACCGACAGGGGGTGTGTGGGAAGGTCAGGAGGCGATCAGAGCTTGAAGCCGTGGCACCTTTGATTTTAAAGTGTCTTGTTCTGCCATCCCCATGGAGAAACACACATCTGCTACCCAGGCCTGAGGGTGGGCCCGGCTGTGCCAACATGCTCAGCGGGTTGGAGGGAGACCATGGTTCTTGGTTGTGACACATCCACCTGTTAGGCATTTATTCAGTGCCCGTCGGGTTCGGGGCGTGCATACACACACACACACACACACACACAATCCACCTATTAGGCATTTATTCAGCCCCCCACCCCCTTCTGCTCCTGTAAGGGCGTAGGCAACTTGCCCAGTGGGAACGATTGTCCATCTCATTCCACAGATGAGAACACAGAGCCCGGGGTTCGTGACTCCTCAGCCCATGCAGCCAGTGGCAGATCTGGGATTTACCGGGCTGACTTGGGCCCTGGAACCCGCCTCCCAAAGCTCTGCTCTGAGAACTGCCCGGAACCATGGCCGCTCCTCCTCCCACATCCACACTCCCAGAGTGTCATGACTTCCCGGGTTTCTCTGAGGTCCATCCACAGACGCTCGAGGGGCCCAGGATCCCTGCTGGGAGCCCAGGGAGATCGGTCCAGGCTGCCCCATCCCTGAACAGCAGCCCAGGCCCCACAAGCCTCACCTCGTCAGGCTGCTCTCCCACCATGTCCATCAGCTTCTGGATTATCCACTGGCACAGCCGACAGGTGATGCCCTTCCCCTCCCTTGTGGTCGGCAGGTCACCCTGACAAGAAAGGAAGACCCTCAAGGCGTCTCCCACACACACCCAGCCAGCAGGTTCATCTATGACCTTTCTGCCCTAAGGGCCTGAACCAGGCTGGCCGGCCCTTGCCCACCCCCCTGAGAGATCCCAGGACAACATCTCTGCCAGCCTACATGTACCCCTCTCCTGCTCTCCTGTCAGACCCCAGAGGACCCTCTTGGAAATGTCAGGAAAGGAAGGCCCTCGAGGCGTCTCCCACACACGCCCAGGCCAGCAGGTTCATCTATGATCTTTCTGTCCTAAGGGCCTGAACCAGGCTGGCCGGCCCTTGCCCACCCCCCTGAGAGACCCCAGGACAACATCTCTGCCAGCCTGCATGTACCCCTCTCCTGCTCTCCTGTCAGACCCCAGAGGGCCCTCTTGGGGAGGACCTAGCAGACCAATGTAGCACCAGCACCCCCAAGCCTAGGTATGAGCCAAAGCAGCTCAACCTCCCCTCCCGCTCCCTGCTCCTCAGAGACCCCCAGCCCTTGCCCCTGGCATTGTCCCTGGAGGAGAAAGAGGAGTGTCTGAGGAGGTGAGCAGGAACCCGGTACCTGGGGGCCCCTCTGGACCAGACACGGGAAGAACTGCTCTCCACCTCCCTGGGGGGCCATCGCCAGGTCAGAGCACTCAGGGGTCACACCAGAAAAGGCCAGACCTGGGGAAGAAACAGCAGAGTCACTCCTTCCCACGGGCTGCCTCTCCCATCGGCCAGGTCACTGACAAGCTGGGCTGGACCTGGTTCTGAGGGAAAGGCCTCCGTGATGATGGCAAGAAAGCTGGGGAGGGGCGGGGAGCCATGGGGATCCACACTGAGGGGCTGTCCTTACCTGGGGAGCCCAGGAGCGCCGAGGCAAGGAGCAGGACGACCCAGGAGGCCATGGTGGGCAGCTGCCCAGGCAGTTCCCACGCCCCGTTTTATAGAGGCTGGGAGCCCTGCAGTCTGACCTTGCCGGGTCCTTCCTCTCTGATAGGTCACCTCCCCACGTCACAGGGTTTACCACAAACACCGATTTGGGGAGAAGAGGGGGAGTAGCGGTACCTCGGGTGGAGGGGGGTTCCATGCTCCCTATCATCCCCCCACACACAGACTAGAACTTTCTGAGCTGAGTGGGTGGGGAGACTATACCCCAGCTTCCACCTCCTTTGGGGTCTTTCTCCTCCGACTGCAGAGATGGGAGAGGCACCTGCCAGGACCCTCCCTGCAGCACATCCCACCCAGGCCACTCAGGGCCATCGCTAAGGAGCCCGTCCAGCCACTGCCCAGGAGGCCCAGCCAGGCTGAGTCCTCACCGCAGCGCAGCCTCCTTGTCTAGAACACGGCCCTTTCCTGAGCCCTGCAGGGCCTCCACTCAGCTTCTGTGAGCGGACAGGGATGGAGTCCCTTTTGCTCTC